GGGGTTAGTATCTTGATAATTGTTTTATTATTATTGTATGTGTATGAACCTGGTCCACTCACCTTTGTTTTGCACCCCCATTCAGGTCTTAGAAACAATGACTACCATTACTAGAATTATGCTCATTACACACCATTTTTTGCCCACCCTTTGCAATTGGTGGCCATAGATATAGAGTTGCTACTCTTACTAATTTTTGGTGGCTTTACAGTGGGGTGCCACTAATATCAGTGGCCTTAAAAAATCAGCCCCCAATATTGGTGTCTGTTAACTAACTTTATTTCTTAAAATTACTTTTCTTCTACTTTTTTATTTCATTATTTATTTTGTTGGCGCCTGAGTGGTGCTAGTTAATTATGTTTTTTTCAAAGCTGGGATATATATTGTTTCTCAGGACCTACGGATGCAAGTCAAATACAAAAGGGAAACAGAGAGGCCAAAACCCATAGAAGGACAGAGCCTTGGACCATAATCGTATCTCTCGACCATTATTGCATCGGTGATGAAGTCGGACGGTTTCACAAACTAGTCGCATTCGCAGTAAAAAAGACACCATTTGTTATCGGTGGCCATGTAAAAAGAATACCACTGTTGTTTATTTTTGGTGTCTTTTAAGCACAGGTTGGTGGCTTTTAAGTTAAGAGCCACCAATGATCGGTGCTAGGCTAACCCTTTCGTGCAAAATACAATTAAAAAAACAAAAAAAACTGAAAACAAAAAGCTGTTAATGTTCTCTCCCCTTTAACAAAAGACAAACTCCTATCCTACATTCTTTATCCTCTCTTCCCCCTTCATACCGTCTCTTCTCTCTTCCCCCTTCATTATGTCTCTTCTATCTTCCCCCTTCATTCTGTCTCTTCTATCTTCCCCCTTCATTCTGTCTCTCCTCCTTTCTCCCTTCATTCTCTCCTCCTTCCCGTATCCTCTCTGCCCCTCTTCTCACGAGACAGCACTGCCATCCACCGGTCGCCAATGATCGTCATATTATACCTCCATAATCCTCTTCCCATCCTCTTTCTAAACCCCAAGTTAGTTTCTACAAATTCGTTGCCGAATTTCCTCAATTTAAGATCTAAGAAATGGTGACCGCGGGCCTTCCGACCAAGCTTGCTGGAGTTAGACCTCCAACGGTCTTAAGTACTACGTTGGGATGTTTTCCTTTGTCGATAAGGACTAATTGGAGCCTGGGTGGGCGATTTGATGAGTAATATGGTAATTGGAATTCTGGGTTTTATGGTTTTTGATTGGGTTGATATTGTTTGGTTGTTGATGCTTTTCTGTTAATGTTTAGCTTTTGTTGGTTCAAAAATTGAAACTTCGAGGAATTTTGATGTGAACTTGTTAGGGATAGGTCGGCAGTGGGTGTGATGAGGTTAGAGCCGGTTCAACCCCATCACCGCAACAAAAACCATTGCAACCAGAAAGCCTCGTCAGCCTCAACCATGAGTTTACATGCAAGGGGTAAGTGACTGAAGCTTGTAATGTTCAGTCTTTTTATTTTAATACTAAAGATTTTTTTTTGCTTGATGTAATTAAAGATCAAGTAACGCTCCATTGACAGTCAAGGGGTGGAAAGAATTAACTATGAATGAGAAGATGGAAATGGCGAATGGTTTGAAGGTGAGTTAACAAGTTCTTTGGCAATAATTTTATTTATCTGATTAAAGTTTGATAAAAAGTTGAATTGTGGAAGTATGTTTATTTATTAATTTGAGTGTGAGCAATTGTAATACCCGGTGAAGAAGTAAGTTGTTAATGTTCCACTTCTTAATTTGTTACTTGTTTCTAGTAGCTGTGATTATTATTGAAATATACACATATACATTGTTGTGAAATACTATTTAACATATGTGATTACTCTGTAATGTTTGAGAGCTCTTCTTGTATTCTATGTTCGGAGTCTAGAAACTGAAAAACTATTTGTTTTTAGTGTTTGTTTTATGCTTGAAATATGCTTCAAGGTTGATTTGCTTTTTTTTTTAATATGTTTCAAGGTTAGAGAAAGCTGATTAAGGGATCATGGCAACTATAAGAATAGAGTGCCCTGTTTTGGAGCCAAGCTCTGGTAATTTCTTATCATCGTTACTTGCTACTACTCCATAATTAGTTTGGTAGTATTATCATGGAATTCATTTTTATTTATTGTGTTTTGGTTGGTCTTATTTCATTTTTATGTTACATGTAATCTCTTCATAAAGCTAACTCCAAATCTTAGTTTCTCTTTTGGTTTTGGTAATCTGTCATTCTCTAAAGCTCTTTTCGTTGATTTGTGAAATAAATTTGGAGCTTTTACATAAACTGCAGTCTTAATTAAATTTTGTTGTTACCGGTCATAGAAAAGTTGATAGCAAAGGTATCCTTTCGAACTTGATTTTAATTTTTTAAGTTTTTGTTCTTAATTTTTTTATGTATTATTTTTTGGAAACTTCAAGCATCTAATTTGTGCATTATAGTGCACTGATTTGGTAGAGAACCTACCTGAGGATCATTCAGTGGAGAACCTTAAGAGTATACTTGGTGAAGCTGGAAAGTATGTTATTTTCCTTCTTTTTCTACCCATACTGTGGCATTACTGTTCTCTTTAGTTTTGGATATAGCATGGTTTTCAATCTTTCAGTTAAGAGTATACATATGAAGTTGTATTTCATACGATAAAAGTGTAACATCTGTGTCTTTCTATCTCAATCTCGCTCTCAGTTGCTTATAATTTTTTTTTTCACATGTTAATCACATTTGCTAATCTTCTGCTATCCAAAATTTTGTCTTCCATTGTTTGTCTTTCCCTTCCTTATATCTATCACTATTACTGATAATCAAATGTTTTTGTTCAAGCTATTAGTCATGCAAGTCTGCACACTAAGTAAGTTTTCAAGACATTGAAGTTACGGTAAGTCATCATACTTTATAAAGAATTTATAACTTTTAAGTGATTGCAAATTTGTTTGACAGTGGAAACTATGAAGATGTAATGGATTTTCGAATCATTGATCCAACCAAAGTGGATATTTGTGTCACCTATTTCATAAATAGAATAAAAAACTCATTTATATAATTGACTGATATTTTGATTCCTATTATTGTTTAGATGGTGAAATGTTGGGTCAAGCATGCATACTCTGTTGCTCCAACTTTTAATTGTCAGACTGTAGTTGGACTTGAGTTAACGTTATTCTTACGAAATTTGTGGGTTTGATTTTGGGTGCAGGCTGCAGCTGATAATCAGATTCAATAACTATGATTAAGCTCTTGGAAACAAAGGGTTCGAAGACTTTGTAAAGTTTGGTTCCAACATTTGTACAAAATTTTATAAAATATCAGTTATGCAAATTTATAGTTGTATTCTTATATTTTAATGATATAACAATTTGTTTTCTCACCAAAAATAGAAAAAGAAATATGATACTCCAATTTGGATGCCCACACACGGCATCATTTTTTTAAATATTATTTTGCAACTTTGCCACCGATGTGAATTAGGATGGCACTATAGGAAATGCACCAATGCAATATTGGTAGCCATTGTTACAATAGAGTCATCTACATAGATCACACTCTTTAGTTTAATGGGTGCTTGGTGCTCATAGAGGTTTGCCACCAATGTGAGTGGCAACACTTGACAATAGCCACCAAATGAAAAGGGTGGCTTATAGCCAAATTTCTAGTAGTGTACGACACAACGTACGAGACATTTTCCTACCAGTAGCGGTCTATCATTCACTTGTGTGATATCTTGTAATGATCTTTTCTTTGTGATCTTGTTTTAGAGCGTGTTCTGTGCACTCTAGCTATTTTCTTAAACTCTGTTTAATTCACTTAATTTCCCCTATGATTATTTATTCATGTATATTTCCTCCTAATCATTACTCTTGTATTCAATAAATGGCTTTTGTCATCCTCGGGTGTCGGCCAGCACGTGCCTATCCGAGTATTCGAGGAATATCGGGGTTGGGACGTGTCAAATTAGATCTTAACCGTTGGATTCAATGAATTTATAAATATAAAACTAAATAAAATATACATATGTAGTGGGCCAGCCCCACTAATCCTATGCTAAATCATGTGCTAAATTTGGCTTTGTTTAAAGTTTTAAGTTTTAGGTCCAATTTTAAGATTGTGTTGGATTGGATATTTTTTTGTTGCGCCGGGGGGGGGGGGGGGGGAGGGATAGAAGGGGAAAAATAGGTCATAAGTCAAGGTTGGAGATGGTCTTAAGAGTCTGTCCTATCAGATCCGTCTAAATCGCGATTCTCTCTTAGACAAAAAATAGACAACTTTTATTTTACTTTTTATTTTTTTAATAAATTGTAAGAGACTTATTGAATACTGAACACATATTCTAAGCTTGTTTTCCACATTTTCATTATGTTCTAATACTTTAAACCTATACATCATTTTATTTTGTAGTTTTTGTTATCTCAATAGGATTATATATTGTTATGTATAAATTAACACTTATGTAGATGATATATAATAAATTTATTTGAACTCGCTTAATTCGCTTAGCGCTAAGCTTTGTGCCTGAACGCGAAACTCCAGCTGGCTACCCGTCCAGCGCTTAGTGTCTTTTTAAACCTTGAATACAACGTAGAGAAAAGAAATAGGGACAAGGAAAAAAAATGAAATTGTGAAATTTTCGCCAAACTGTCTGTGGAAACGAGAGGCAAACTGAAAGGACAATACTTGGGTTATAGACTGACGTCATGATGTGGCGAAATAAAAATAACTCACATGTCGTACAATATTTATTTGATGGAATGCATTTAAATCATCATTATTTAAATCATCAATAGTTCACGGACAGTAAAATGGCAAAAATACTCTCGATTTGGTTTATTTGCTGGCCTTTTTTTCACTTGGTTGAACAGTTAAAGGGCGGATTTGCCCTCCTTTGCCACGCGTGTTCTTCGCAGACCACAACGTTTCTCTTCCGGATTCTTCTTTTCTTTTCTCTCTCTCTCTCTCAGAAGCCTTTTGTTTCTCTCAAACCTCTCTTTGCCTTGCTCTCCGATCTCCACTTCTCTATGTGCCTTGCTTTCTTCCAGAAAACGCTCAAGTCAGTCAAATTGGTTTAGATCTATTCGGCGGGGGTTAAAACGGCAACGCTCTCTTGCTGAAAAGTAGCGAATTTGGTCTCGATTTGAAGAAAATTTGAAGCCCATAAAAGATTGCATCTCCTGCTGCCGATTTGATTTGGGTAATTCTTTGCTTTGAATTTTATGTTCTTGCGAGTGTAAATTGGGATTTTAAATGGGGTTTTTGTTCTGATTTTGGGAATTTTCTTTGTAGCTTCGGATTCTGGGTGATGATGGTTAATTTAGTTTTTGTTTTCGATTTCAGGAGATTGGGTTTTTCGAGTTTGTGACTTTTCTTTGAAGGCTGCGAAGACCTCTGTGTTTAAGGTGAGTGGTTTTGAAATTCCATAGTTTTGATTCTACTTGCAGCTTGAGGTGTGATTTTAGATCTGAAATTTCCAAGCTTTTTGATTAATCTTAACCCAGATTAGTTAAACTATAATTAAATTAATTTTTTTCCGGTTATGTAGCTGAAGTAGCTAAAGTTAAGAAAGAACAAAAGGTAAATTCTTTTCTCATCCTTACAAAATTTGATATTGATTTTGAAAATAGTGAAAACCCAATAAAACAAACTGACTTTCTCAACCGAAGATTATGATATATGTTTCGCATTTGATTATTTAGGATAATTACATGCGTGAGGATTATTAAATGATATATTTGATAAATACGTCTAATTTTAAGGTAGGAGCCTTTAGATTACAACTCACTTTATGGTTTTGCATTAAGCAAATCTGGAGGAAATCTGCTCTTAGTTGATGCTCTGTCTCCATCTTTTTTGCCTGCTTTAATATGCTTTCTTATGATTTCTGCTGTCTTCTGCTCTTAGTTGATGCTCTGTCTCCGTCTTTTCTGTTCTTATGTAAAAATATTGGTTTTGTTCTAACTTCTTGTATATACTAAACGTGAGTTTCCCCGGCACTGTAGATCACCAGTGTCCGGACGGAACTGCCCTCGCTTCTCTGTTTTCTTTCCGTTTGTGTCCCTGTTTTCCACGAGGCGCTCATCTTATTCTCTCGACTTTGAGAGTCATCTTGAGTTAGGGTTTTGTTCCTTCGTTGCTTTTCTTGATTTCGGCTTTTGCTCTTTTCGTTTTGGCTGTTCTTTCTTCCAATCCTCTGTTTCCTGTGATATCCGTGCTTTCTTTCGCGGAAAGGGTTTCTGATTTTCGTGGTTTAAGGGATTTTGTGGTTGCCAGGCCGTTGTGCGTCTATTTAGATTCGGGATTTTTTGCGTTCCGAGGGTTTCGACATCTCTAATTGGGGTAAAGAATTCCTGCTGTTTCCCCCTTTTTCCGTTTGGGATTTCTGGGTTGTGGCTGGGTTTTTGGCCGATTTACACCTCTTTTCAAGGGTGGCGTCTTTGCAGCCCGCTGTGGAACAAGTGTGATCCAACTAAGGTTTATTTTATAATCATTTTCTTTTGGTTTTTATTTTTGGTTTTTCCTTTGTTTTGATGAAACCTTAATCGTTTCCTTTTATTGTCAATTGTGGTGCTCTCTTTGGTTTTCCCTGTTAAAGGAGAATTTTGCGTTTTTGTTTTTCAGTTGGCAAATCTCTGATTTGCTGGTATTTGCAACGTTGCTGTAATTTTTTGGGTATTTTTTTGCGCTTCTGCTTTTTTTCCGATTCGGATATGGATTGGTAATTATTGGATTTAAACGGATTCGTAGTTTTTGATGAGAGCAGTTGTTGAGGTTGTGTGAAGGTTTGTTTTTCTGGGTTTTATGCTGCAGGGGGTTACAAACACGGAGAGGAGAGGAAACATTAGTTTAGATTGTGATTTAAATTTTTTTTATATGTTCTTGGTGATATAAACTGTGTGAGTGCGGTTGTTTTAAAATTATTTGCGTGTGCTTTTTTATAGTTTTGCTTTTTTCCAGTTTGGATTAAAATGGATTTTGAATTTTTGAGAAGAAATTAAAAGGGTCGTTGGAATTTTGGAAGCCTTTGTGTTTTTGGTGAACACGCAGACAATCTTGAAAATTTGTGTTAAAAGACTAATGTTTGTACATAAAAAAAGTGAGTTGGCTAAAGAAGCCCTTTGGATGCTTTTTGTTAATATCTCATGGGCTTTGCTCTTTGATTTCAGAAATTTTGTGCCCATCTTGGGTTCGCTTCGAACTTGGTTGAGACCGATCTAATCCGGCGTTTCCAGGTGAGTTTTGCATGTTTATCAGCTTATATGGTTTGGATCTTCTTTTTTTTCGTTGGATCGTTATTGTGCGTGTCTGATGCATTTTGTTTTCTAGATTCGGGAAACCGTCCCTTTCAGATTTTTGGATTTTCGATTCTGATTCTTGGAACTCTCTGTGCTAAAGGTATATAAATGTATTATTTGTTTTCTTTGCGGCTAAATTTTACTTTTTTTTTGGTTTTGTTTTGGTGATTTGGGACCTTTTTTGTGCATGTTTGGGTTGTTAATTGGTAATGCATGTTTTCTTGCTGATTTTTGTGCTAGCAATTTTATTTAAATCCACAGCTGCTTTTTTTTCATTTGACTTGCTGTGATGGTTATGCTTGATTCATAAGATTTGAGGTAGTTGTGATAAAATTAGAAGAGTGATATCTATGTTATGTTGGATTTGTGAGAGTGATTTGTCAGAGCAATGAGTAAATTTTCATATGTAGTGTAGGGTCAAATTTAATAATCATTAATGGGATTTGGTATATGTCTGGTAGAAATGCTATCAAATTGTAGATACACAGTTTGTTGGTGCAGCAGGGGGCTGGAAAATTTTTTCAGTATGTTTTTTATGGTTTGGCTTTTTTCTGTTGGGCCTTTCCCCGGCTAAAACAGTACATTTTGGTTGCTCGGTTAATGAATTTGAGATCTGGTGGCACCTGTGACGCTCTTCTTATATTTTGGATAAGTTTTATGTCCTGCTTTTTTCCAGTTTTAAAATGCATTGATAATTGTTGGATTCAAATATATTTATGATTTTTGCGAAGAAATGAGAGGATTCGTTGGAATTTTGGAAAGCTTTGTCTTCATGTTTTACGAACAGGGAGAGGAAGAAAGAAAACATTAGTTTAGATTGCAATTTTAAAACTTTTTATGTTGTTAGTGCTGGAACCAATGTGTTTTGTTGCTAAATTGATAATGTGTAAAGTTATTAGAATTTTGGAAAACTGTCTTTCTCACTTTTATCTGGCAAAGTGAACACAACTCTTACGTGTATGATTTCAAGTTTTTCCTTTAGAAATTTAAGCTCTATTGGATACATGAGGTATAAGAGTCTGTTTGGGATATTTTCAAGTTTTACTGATTCGTGAAAAAAAGCATGCTTAAGGGTAATCATGTTTCAGTTTTTATTGAATTCAGTTAGCCATCTTCAGTTTTTTGCTTTGGTCTGAAGGCTTTGTTTTGTTCAGATATCAAAGTTGGGCATGAATTCATATGTTTTTCAATGTTTTTATTCCGATTTAATAATGTCATTTAATGGTGCGATGCTGATTTAGGCTATAAATTCAGAGGCTTTTCAATGGGCAAGTTTGCAACATGGAATTCAGAGGCAGTTGTATCATTAGCTGAAATATACTAGATCTAATCTTTAGACATCATTTTCACTTTGATTAAGATGTGTGCCTGCCTTCTCAGTACAAAACTGGCTTACATAGTTTTATTCTGAAAATTGGACTCTCCTTTTCAGAGTAACTAGTCGAACCCCAAAGCTGTACAAATTAGGGCTTGCAGATTCTCTCTTCGAGAATTCTGATTGCATCGTATCCATTTGTCTTCAAATCGAACTTGTTTTTCGATGCCTAGGGCTTGAAGGCAGAGGAATCAGAATCGCACTTTTAGCGGCTCCGCACAGATTATCCTCGATTTCAGAGGCCTCAAGATTTTCGATCGGCGTTGTGATTGAAAGGAATTTCAGGTGAGTAGTTTCGTTCTGATTTTCAGTTTAAGGAGATTTGGGATTGGAATTTCATAGTTTCGGAATGAAATTTATGCATCCGGACTGCGGATACGGCATTGGGTTGGCCAATTTCAAAATTAGGGCACAAAGGCGATGCCAAATCCATGAAATGGAATAGAGCCTATATGGGTTTTGGTTATAATTGTTTGATTTGACAAAAATTGCCAATTTTGAACAGTTGTTTTAGTTCAGCATGATAAAAATTAGGGTTTTCTTTTGTGATTTTCAGGTACTTTGCATTTGTAATTGTTCAATTCGAGAGGGAAATGCGGGGATATGATAGAGATGTAAGTAAATTTTGAATCTTCATCTATTTGTTTTTTATTCCATGTAAATTTTCGATGTTGATACTCTATTATTTTTTGGAGAAAATTAGTTTGACAATTTTTTGGGATAGGATTATGGTCAGTCAGGCGACAAATATGAGGATTATGAGGATGATGAGGATGGTGAAGATTATGATGAGGAAAAGGAAGATCCAAAGCCTACCAAGGAAGCATTGGCATACCTTGAGTTGAGACAACGCTTGAAAGAACAATTACGAAAGAAGAAAAGCGGTTCTTCTTTGGCCAACTCCAGTAATAAAAAGGAGCTCCCCTATGACAAGTGAGTAACTACTATATAACCGTTGTTTTTCCTTCGTGGAAAATCCATGCTTTCTTAGTAAGACAAGGCAGGTGGTTCTGTTTGTTTCTACTACTAGGTTCAATGCTTCCTAATTGTAAGTAACCAATGATTATTTGATGAACAATATATGGCCTTGTTATCTGAAGTTGTAGGGAAGCAGGAAGTGATGCAACTAAAATAGTTCTGTAATGTATTGATTTGCTTGCATTCTACCAGAGCCTGTAACGATATAGGTTTTATAGTTGCAATTTCTAGGACAGGCTAATGTTTTTTTTCCAAGGGTATCACCATCTGAGAGTAATATAGAGAAATGAGAATACATTTTGAAGAGTTGTCATCCTTGCAACTTTGTTTGCAGTTCCTTGTTTTCTTTTTTTTTGTGATGAGGTTATGAGACAGATGATTTGTTTCATAATTTTTCTATGGACAATATAGTGGTAATTGGTAAAATAGAAGTTTTGAAATTGATTTTAAATTATTTCCCTACTTATTCTGCAGTTTTGGATCCTTCTTTGGCCCATCTCAACCAGTTGTTGCTGAGCGAGTGATTCAAGAAGGCAAATTGTTTTTAGAAACCAAGCACCTAACATCCAGTGCTACCAACTATGTCCACCATGTATGTATTATTACTCCCTCTTTTTGATATAGCTCATAAATTCATAACATTACTTGCTCACATTGACTTTTTTCTGTTCCTGTCATATACAATTGGTCTACACTTTACACATATAATGAGTCCACTTATGCCGTCTTGATCCCAAAATGATTATGGGATAGTTTTGGCCCTGTAATTTCTGTGTTATGTCGTATCTTGTTATTTGTGGAAATTTTTGGGAACTTTAGTTTGTTCAAAGAAATTGATTTGATGTGCATATTATTTGAGATTCTTCTTTCCATGTGGTGTAATTTACAATCTTATTGTTGCTAGAACCATTTTGGAGTTGCTTTTGCTTTCCACCTCTTTTATTGGTTCTAATATTAAATTTGATGAAAGGGTTACCGATCACTTGATTCTTGGTGAGGGTCTGGGAATTTCTAGATTTACCCGTATAGGTTTATATCTTGAAACTTTATGACTTACTTGGCATGCCTGATTTGTGTCTTGCTGCTTATTTTGTTTAGTTTTTAACCCCGGCATTAGCTATTCCTTTTTATGTAACAAAAAAAATATTTTCTTGGAACTCTCTTCATTTTATGAACATACTAATGTTTACAATGATATGCTTAATAAGATTTTTTACATGCCTAAAATCTTGTTGCAGAAAAATATTTTGTTGGATCTTCTTTTTTGTTTTGACACAAAAACAAGTCTATAAGTTATAGTGCATTAATTTGATGATGGCACTTGCCTCTGCAGAACAAGAAGGGGTCTGGATCAACCTCTGCTGGATCGAAATCTGTATCGAATTTTGAATTCGAAGACAAAGTTATCAACCTGTTCAAAGATTTCATGGCCAGGTAACTCCTCTCTGATCTTTTATCACTAGAAGAAATTCGCTTTTTTCATCTGGGCAATCTTTAAAATTCATCAAATCTGCAGACTCGGCAATTTTGACGAGTTGGTGGCCACTGGAAGCACATTACTTGTCGACTTTCAGCAGGGGCTGGGTAAGTAGCATTCTGGGTTTTGTTTCAAATTTGATTTAGTTTCTTCGTAAGTAATATTTTTGTTTTTGCAGAGTTTCTTCGACGACCTCAGATAGATGAGACATCGGATTTGGTTAAAAATGTAATCCGAGGTAATGAAACAAAGAGGGTTAAGTCATATGTTGAAGCTGGATGTCTCAACGCTGACGATGGCAGGCGAAATATAAGCAAGTGTGAGTGCAATTCTGTATATTTTCTTATGCTTTCTTTGGATTGTTGGTTAGATAATTGAGTGTTAAGACCCTCCCAAGCTCTTATCAGTTTTATATCAGCAAAGATTTATAATGTTATAGAAATATGCTTAATTATTTGTTAAAACTGTTATCTTTCACAATTTACTGGAAATAATTGGAATGAGTTGATAGCTTGATAGTCTCTTCTTTCTCTTTACTTGAATTCAGTTCTCCATTAAAAAAAATTGGATATCGGTTAAAGGCCACTGATAGTACTTATGCTCCCGCAGTAGTGACAGTTTGTTTGTAATTGGCTGATAATTTGTAGCATTGATTTACCGAGTATCTAACTAACGAGCATGTTTTTCTGATATCTGCCCTTGAATTACTATCCTTTGTTTTTGTATGGTGCTGTTCCCTTACTTTGAGTTCTGCCACTTTCTGATACGTTATTGGTGTGGACTATGAACGTGATGTATTTCTTATACATGGTGAAATTCTTGTAGAGAAGTGCATACATGCCAACTTGGACTTTGTGACCATGTAAGTAAAGGTAACATGTCTTTCCGAAATTGTCAGTATTGTTTCTTTTATTATATATCACAAAAGAATCTTGTTAAAGGGAAAGCGAAGTGGTGATGCCTCTACATCAATGAGCTGTTTTATCTGTTCGTAGTAGTAGTTCTTTCATATCTCGTGTGCTGCAGTTTGTAGTTTGAATGTTTGATATATGTTGCAGTTTGTAGTTTGTTAATGGTACATTTCCCTACTTGATGCAATCTCGCACTTGATGTACTCTTGAATTTTTTGTTTAAGAATGCAAGTGCTGTTGTAGGCAAAAACGTACTTAATGAACTTGAATGCCTCCTGGAGGATATAAATGGCGCAATGCGAACTGCAATGGGAAATTTACCCGACTTTCAGGATGACAGTTTTGCGGACAGGTTGAATGAAAAAGCATGCAACGGTGACAAGGTAGTCTTTATCCTTCTTTTCTCTTATCCCAAGGAATATCTTGATACTGTTTGTACATTCAGTTCTGATATGTTTCTCATCTCTGTTTGTTCCTTCTCCTAGTATAACTCTGTTCTAACCTTTGTGTTAAAAAAACCCCGACACTGGACCTTGTTCTTTGATGTAACCAACGGCAATAGACTAAACTAGCAAATATAGAAAACTTAGAAACACACAAGAATTATACTGGTTCGGCAGAACTTATGCCTACGTCCAGTTGTGATTTCCCTAGGTAGAGAAATCACCGCTTCTTTGATTAATAATAGAGATTACAGAACTTATGCAAACCCTAGAACTAATCTCAAACCTCTCTGCTGTTTGGCTGTTTTCTCTCTGCTGTAAATCAGCCTTGCCGCACCCTATTTATAGATATAGGGTTGGCTTACATGTCCTTTACAGATTATAATTCCTATTCTAAGTGGAATAGGAATTTAGACTTCCTTTCCAATTCCAAATAGACTTCTAGGATTTCTAATCTACATTGAATAAGGAAACTAAGATTCTTTCCTAGCCCTTTTAGGAGAAGAATTGGTGCACCCTTTCCCTAAAACAATCCTAAACAGAAAAGGACACAAAATTGACGAGCCAAAAACTAATAATCTCCACCTTGGTGAGTCAAACCAAGTCTTGATCGTTTGCACCCCAGAGTATCTTTGAACCTTCTTGAAGTAGCTCTGGAAAAACTTCAAGAGTCTTCACCTTGGCAACCTCCTTCTTGCCTCATTGCACCTCAGGTGAGGAGGTGCTCCACTTTAATCAATCAACGAGATTGATCAAGTTCAAACAATGCTTGAACTTCTTGGCCGGCACTATCTTTGTAAGGAAATCTGCGGCATTGTCATCCGTATGAACCTTTTCAATCCAAATTTCCTTAGACTCCCCAATCTCTGATTCTGTGATATCTTGCTTCAATGTGCTTTGATCTTCCAGAAAAAACCTGATTCTTTGCCAAGTGAATGGCACTTTGACTATCACACTTAAGCTTCACACAATCTTGAGTGATTCCCATTTGACTTACCAAGCCACTAAGCCAAATTGCTTCCTTTCCAGCTTCGGCCAATGCAATATACTCTGCCTCTGTGGTCGATAAAGCTGTAATTGGTTGCAGTAGTGCCCTCCAACTGATTGGTCCTCCTGCGCATGTAAACACATAACCAGAAGTTGACCTTCTCTTGTCCAAGTCCCCTGCATAATCGGCATCCACATATCCTAACACCCCTGCATTATCCTTTTGCTTCTCAAACATAATCCTTTGTTGCCAAGAACCCTTCAAATAACGCAAAATCCACTTGACTACATCCCAATGTTGCTTTCCTGGATTTGCCATGTATCTGGAAACGACACTGATTGCTTGAGCTATGTCAGGACGTGTGCATACCATTGCATACATGAGGCAGCCCACGGCATTAGCATAAGGCACCTTCTTCATTTCTTCTTGCTCTTCCTCGGACGTAGGACACTGTTGTCCACTTAACCTGAAGTGAGTTGCCAAAGGAGTCGAAACTACCTTTGCTTCTTGCATGTTGAACTTCTCAAGAACCTTCTGAATATACTTGGCTTGTGATATCCAAATCCTTCCAGCGGTCCTATCTCTCTGAATTTCCATGCCAAGGATCTTCTGTGCGGCACCTAGATCCTTCATGTCGAACTCCTCGCTCAACATCCTTTTCAAGTCTTGAATTCTAGAGTTGTCTTGACAAGCAATTAACATGTCATCCACATATAGCAATAGCAATATGATCATCCCATCTTGGAACACATGATAGTACACACAACAGTCATACAAACACCTTCTAAAATTAATTTTCAGCATGAATGAATCAAACCTCTTGTACCACTGTCTTGGAGACTGTTTCAGGCCATACAGGGACTTCCTTAGCTGACATACTAGGTTTTCTTTCCCATATTCAACAAACCCTTCTGGCTGAGCCATGAATATCGTCTCCTCTAAATCCCCATGAAGAAACGCTGTCTTCACATCCATCTGCTCAATCTCCATGTCATGCTGAGCTGCCATTGCTAAAAGCAATCGGATAGAAGTATGCTTGACTACAGGTGAAAAGATCTCATCATAATCCACCCCTTCCTTTTGTGAGTACCCCTTAGCCACGAGCCTTGCTTTGAATCTCACGGCATCTTGTTCATGTAGTCCTTCCTTTTTCCCAAATACCCACTTGCATCCAACTAGCTTTTTGTCTTTGGGTTTAGGAACCAACTCCCAAACAGAGTTCTTGTAAAGAGACTCCATTTCCTCTATCATAGCACTTATCCAACTATCTCGCTCATCACTTGCTATAGCTTCTCGATAAGTAGTCGGATCTCCTTGACTAATGTTAAGAGCATAATTAACTTCGTTTTGGTCAAACCCAAACCTGTCAAGTTTCTTCTTGTTCCGCTTAGGTTTGTCCAGTGCTATGCATCTTTGAAATGCAGGTGGATTGTTGGGTGGAGTTTGACTCCTTTGGGATATCTGGCGGATTGGAGTACCTTCAATCTGTCCTGTTTCTTGCTCCACCTGATTCCTAACTAGTGAATGATGCTGATGCTCTTCTTCTTCCTCAAAACCATCAGATTCGGCCTCTTGCTCAATTTGCTCCACCTGAGCTTCTTCTTCATCTGAACTGATTAACGGAATCTTTGTTGCTTCAATTCCAGCATCATCCTTCTTCTCCCTATTGCTCTCGACTTTATTCAGAGGCATGGTTGTCTCATCAAAGACAACATCTCGACTGACAACCTTTTTCCTGTTGTTGAAATCCCAAAGCTTGAAACCCTTCACTCCTTTCTCAAAACCTAGGAATATGCAATGTATAGACTTCGGTTTGAGCTTGGACCTTTCATCACTTGGAATATGTGCATAAGCACTACAGCCAAACACCCTGAGCTTGGAATAATCCACCGGCTTCTCAGACCATACCTCTCTGCACTCTTAAAACCGAGAACTGTAGATGGTGATCTGTTAATCAAATAACTTGCATGATTAACAGCCTCTGCCCAAAAACTATCAGGCAATCCTGCATGAAATCGCATGCTCCTTTCTCTCTCCATGAGAGTTCGGTTCATCCTCTCAGCAGCTCCATTTTGTTGGGGATTCTTCTTTACTGTGAAGTGCCTTATGATGCCTTCCTGCTTGCAGTAATCGGTGAACTCATTACTTGTATATTCACCTCCATTGTCACTTCTCAGATACTTGATCTTTCTTCCAGTTTGATTCTCGGTTTCTGTTTTCCATTCCTTGAACTTTGCAAAAACCTCGGATTTCTGCTTCATGAAATAAATCCAAACCTTCCTAGAAAAATCATCCATGAAAGTAACAAAATACCTGGCTCTACCATTTGATTTAGTTGGAGCAGGACCCCAAACATCTGAGTGAATATAGCTGAGTTGCTCCTTACTTCGGCTATCTGCACTGCTACTTGCGAATGATACCTTTCTTTGCTTCCCAAGAACACAGTATTCACAAAAGTCCAGTTTGCAAGCTGACACGCCTTCCAACAGGCCTTGCTTGTGTAATTCTTGCAATCCCTTCTGGCTTATGTGCCCGAGCCTATGATGCCATAGTTCAGTCTTGTCTTCTATACTTTGATTTACAGAAACAGCTGCTCCCCTGACTATAGTGGTCCCAATTAACTTATACAACTTATTGGGTTGTAGGTCACCTTGCATTACCACTAGCGATCCTTTGGTTACCCTGAGTCTTCCTTTTTTAGACTTGTACCCATAACCGGCCTCATCTAAAGTACCCAAGGAAATCAAATTCTTTCTTAGTCTAGGGACATACCTGACGTTCCCTAAAGCTCGTATCCTCCCATCGAACATTCTGATTCGAACAGTGCCGATTCCTCTTACAGGACATGAAGAATCATCCCCCATTAAGACTTCCCCGCTGCTGACTTCTTTGAAAGTATCGAACCATTCTTTTATTGCACACATATGAAACGTGCATCCAGTATCCAAAATCCAATTGAAAGCCTTGGAGCCCGATGTTACCGAAAGAAGTTCCCCGTCACTCTCATGTTCGGTGACTGCACTAGCGGAACCTGAGCTTCCTTCCATCTTGGCTTTCTTTTCTTTCCAAATCTTGCAGTTCCTCTTCCAATGATCGGCTGAACCACATTCGAAGCAACCTTCCTTCTTTTCCTTTTTCTTCTTGGATTTTGACCTACCTCTGTTGCCAGTTTTCTCTTCTCTTGTCTTTTCCCGCCCCCTCTCCTTGCCTTTGGCATAAAGGCCTTGAGAGCTTTCAGTTATATCATCTAGTTTAGCATATGACTGAAGAGCTTGAATTACGTCTTCAAGCTTCAAGGACTCTTTTCCAAACATTAGAGTTGTTCGAAAGTGCTTGAAAGACGAAGGTAGAGACCTTAGCAGGATGATAGCCATATCATCATCTTTGTAAGTTTCTTCGACTTTCTGAAGATTAGCTATGCAATTCTGGAACCTGCATGTGTGATCTTCAATATCACCTCCTTCTTCTAGTCGAAGCCCGAATAGTTCATCCTTTAGAAAAAGTTTATTGGACACGGTTTTTCCCATATAAACAGTCTCCAATTTTTCCCATGCTTCCTGGGCAAACATCTTTTCGGTGATGTGTGACCGAACTGATCTTGTGAGATGGATCTCGATGGAACTCTTGGCCTTCTTGAGAACCTTATTCCATGCTACTTCTGTCATGCTTTCCGGCTTCTTACCATCAAGAGCATCATCCAAATCCTGCTGTTTCAGTACGTTCTTCATCATCCTTTGCCAGTCCGTGAAGTCATCCTTGCCGTCAAAGGGTTTTAACGTAGATCCTTGATCCGCATTCATCTTCCCTTTTAACATCGTACAACACCTTGATCCTAGCTCTTGATACCAATTGTTAAAAAAACCCCGACACTGGACCTTGTTCTTTGATGTAACCAACGGCAATAGACTAAACTAGCAAATATAGAAAACTTAGAAACACACAAGAATTATACTGATTCGGCAGAACTTATGCCTACGTCCAGTTGTGATTTCCCTAGGTAGAGAAATCACCGCTTCTTTGATTAATAATAGAGATTACAGAACTTATGCAAACCCTAGAACTAATCTCAAACCTCTCTGCTGTTTGGCTGTTTTCTCTCTGCTGTAAATCAGCCTTGTCGCACCCTATTTATAGATATAGGGTTGGCTTACATGTCCTTTAAAGATTATAATTCCTATTCTAAGTGGAATAGGAATTTAGACTTCCTTTCCAATTCCAAATAGACTTCTAGGATTTCTAATCTACATTGAATAAGGAAACTAAGATTCTTTCCTAGCCCTTTTAGGAGAAGAATTGGTGCACCCTTTCCCTAAAACAATCCTAAACACAAAAGGACACAAAATTGACGAGCCAAAAACTAACACTTTGCACTCGTATGCTAATACTTCTCTGTATTATTGAATACCAATGTTTACAAAATCACAAATCACCTTGCATTGCACAGATGACAAGTATTAGTACCTGACTCGCAAGCTAAGGTTAGCCATAACAGCTATAACCAACTCCTAATATCCATCTAACAAACACTAAACTAAACCAATGACTACATGACACTTGGCAATCAATATCGACAGATTATTTGTACAATTATCAGCATCGTATAATCTACTCTCCCTGCCTCCGAGTTCAGTAATTATCGTTGCCCATCATTGGACTTCTGTCCAATTGTCCGTACATTTCTGTTGTATTTGTACCTGTATATGCACAGACACATGTATCAGTGGTAATCACTGATTTAAATGTATCACTAAATTACTCCGATAATTGCATGCTTGGAATTTTGTTAGGGTTGCTGAAACATGTGTGCCTCTTTGTAGCTTTGGTGTTTAAGGAGTTACTGTCTTTTTTATTTTATCGGGTTGGAGATTTTTGGCAATCTTTACTGTTATTGAAAATCAGAGTGCCTGCACTTGCCTATAAGCATGGTTTAATCTGCAGAGTTTCGGTCAAAGTTATATGATCCGTCATTCACATGTCTCCTTTCACTACAAAATTCATAGTACAACATTTATACTGTGTATCCGGCTTAAATACCCTCCTTTCTTTACAGTTTTTATTTCACTGCTTGCCTATTTTGAAGGTCAATCCTTAATATCTCTGATTTCCAGATTATCCCTTATTTTACAAGTTTTTCTATTCATTTCCTGATCGAGTTTGCTATGGTTGGAAAGTAGGAAGAGGAGCGGTACATAGAAGTGTTGAATGCATATTTCTGTCGCAAAATATTATGTTAAGAAAGTAAGATTTTTCGGGAATGAGGGAGCTATATCTTTGAGTTCTAAAGATATTTGGCTGATCTTTCCATCACCTAATTTTCTCTCCTTTTTTCTTTTCTTTCTGAATGTTCATTCCACACTAAGTATTCCGTTCCTAGTTCAGATTTGCATGCTGCTCAGTAAAATTCTTACGCCAATTCTGATTTCTTATGGTTGATGATAAATTCGAAACACCTCTTACTGATGCCTAACTTCTATAGGAGGAATTTACGTCATCCCATCCCAAAAGAAATGAAGTTACCGATTATGCTGTCGTGATGGGGGTCATTTACAGTATGGTCAAGCAAGACTATATGATGCAGGTAATTAAGCTCTCACCCCGAATTCCCACTATCTGTGCCCTTTGGTATGAACTTTTAAAACATCCAATGTAACAACTTGATGCAGGAGAGGATCGTCTCTGCTGTTAATCTCAAGTCATCTTCGGGAGAATTAGAGAGCTACTGCCTGATGTGGTCTTTGCGTCCGTTCATAAATAATGAAATTATGGATTATGCTTGGAAACTTATTCCCTGAATGTTGCGGGAATCTGAATGCCAAGGTTTGCTTACTGTCAGATTGTTAAATTAATTGTCATAATTTAGTTTATTTCACAAAATTATAAATAGAACTTAAAAAAAAAATTAGGGCTTTTTCTTTAACAAGGAAATAAAACTTTCTTTATATTGAATATTAGTTTACAAGGTTAGTGTAATTTACAATCCACTTCTGTTAGCTTGTTTTCCTCACCAATCTGATAGTGAAGGTCTCAAACTTGTTCCTGAATAGACCAGCCAACTTCATCGGTGTCTCATTGTATGCATTCCTGTCCGACCACTGCGAAACCGGAAAAGAAAAAAAAATGAGAGAGAGGCAAGTCGGATTGGAACTTCCTATTCTTACCAATTCCAATTTGAAAGTCATTTGAGTTTGGAACACCCAAATCAAATTAGACATTTGAAATTGGGTTCGGAGTTGGACTATTAGTATTAGGAATATGTTCAACATTGCTGCGTCTTCTCAGTCAACATTGCTGCGTACTTGGTAGGATGCAACATAAAAATGATGCTCCTTAATACCCTCCTCGGATCCAGCAACCTTGTAATTAATCAATAATACAAATAATAATAATGTATTCGATGGGGTAGGCTGCACGATTGGATATGAGAAATGATTTTCACGCTCTCTCGTTACCTGTACGAGATTTGTTTGAATAATCCACCACCCGGGCATGCTCGTCGAACACGACGTTTTCCAACACTGCCCCAAACTTGATGGCTTTGAAAATGTCAGGCTCCTTCTCCCTTGAGAGGTCAATGCACTTGGTATAGCAAGCACCTTCGATGTTGGACAGACCAATCTCACTCCAACAGTGGTCATCGTCTTCAATTAAGAACCTATTGTGATCCGTTTACAGAGTTGTCTTTCTTGTACCTAATTATTCAAACATGCTAGCAAACATTTATCAGAACCAACTAGCCTCTTAGCATGCACTCTACGATCAAACATCAGTTGGTTCTATATCCCGACAATCCAAACAAGAGCACGACATCTCCGTCTTTCCCCATATTGCAACCAGAATGTAGGGAGAGGATACTGTCCGGCACTGTAGATGGTGAAGTCCGGAGTTCCGAAATTCTCCGGCTCTTCAGGAGTGGGTGGGATACACCTGCAAATGTACACTAATGAAGCTCATGCACGAGTTTTACAATGACATCAAAATCAATCGTTCGTGGGTCTTTATGTATCTTCGTACAGGTCTCCGACGTGGAACATGCCTCAAAACTTGCATGTTGCGCATGAACAATGAATGGAAAGCCCTGGCAGACATGATCCGCACTTTGATTTTGTTTTGTGGATTGCATCATCCCAGTTCAAGAATTGATCATTTAGAAAACCTGCAAATCGAAAATTCAAGACACAAACAACGATCTTGTACCCTGTTGAGAAGAACGACACCGTCTTCGCTGGCTACCAATGAGGGAGGCGGGGTTCTTGCAAAAAATACTGTCCAAAACTACTCAATTTTGTTAATTGGTGACTGGAAACTGCCTTCTTTTCTTTGTTTCCTTTTAAATTTGTGTCCAGAATTTCAAAAATTAACTTCGAAACAGATGAATTTTGAAGAAAATGAGGGGAAGGAAATGGAGAGAAACAACCTCCTTTGATTATATATATTAATAGGACCTTAAAAAGTACAAAAGAACCGTTTAGCATATCTAATGAATAGAATAACAATACGCCTACTTCTGAGTCTGTCCAATTCTTATTTCCATCAATTGCCTTGCCCCCCAGCTTCCCTAGAGTTTCTAGTTATTCTTCTTTTCTGCGAAGGTTTTAGAAATTTGTTCCAACCGCAAGTATCTCCTCGGTCAGCTTCTTGTTCTTCCCAGTCTTGTAATTTGTGAAAGTCTCAAGGTTCCTCTTGAACAGGCCAGCCAGCCTCATCAAAGTTTCATTGTATGCATTCTTGTCCGATCACTGCAACCACAAATAAAGATTCGGATATCACATTAACAATGAAGGTCAAGACCGAACAAGGAAACGGTATATAGAGAGAAAACCAACTTACAGTGTTCACTGGATCCAGTATTTCTGAAGGCACTCCCTCGACCTCAGTGGGGATTTCAAGTCCAAACACTTCAGTCTTCTTGTACTTCGCGTTTAAGAGGCTGCCGGAGTGGATGGCGTCAATGATTTTCCTGGTGTAGGGCAACTTAATGCGCTTTCCTGATCCATAGCTGCAGGAAAGAAAGATGTTTGTTTGGTTAATATTTTCTCACGGAAATGATTCTCTAAAATTATGATGATAATCGAATGAACATATACCTTCCACCGGACCAGCCACCAGCCATCCTGTTGCACTGTGCTTCTGCATCTTCTCAGCCAGCATTGCTGCATACTTAGTAGGATGCAACATTATAAATGCTGCACCGGAGCATGCTGAGAATGTTGCTGTTGGCTCCTTGATACCATCTTCAGTTCCAGCAACCTATAAATTTATCAACAATTAGTTAATATAGTAACCGAAATGTTAAGTGTTCACGAGTACAAATGCATCGCACGCCAAAAGTTTGACGTTCTTTGGATGTGGACCAATGCGTTGGGAATGTATTCGATGGGGTAAGCTGCACGAGTGTTCCCTGCAACCGGAAGAAAAACAGCTCAATATATTATATGGTCCATCAGAATTATGTATAAGCATAATCAATCACCGTATCATGAGATTCAAACTCAAATTGTGTGAATTTTGGGATGAAAACAATTGATATTTACCTGTAGCAGATTTGTCAGAATAGTCCACCTCTCGTGTATGCTCATCAAACACGATGTTTTCCAACACTGCCAACGAAGAAAAATCCGATAAATTCAAGTCGAATTCAAAAGACCAAACAAATTAAACACTATTACTTCTTCATCATATTGATTCCATCATATCCACATATCCAAGAAATCAAGGTGACATATTACCAGCGCCAAACTTCATGGCGTTCCAAATGTCTGGCTCTTTCACCCTTGACAGGTCAATGCACTTGGCGTAGCAACCACCTTCGATATTTGACACACCGTTCTCAGTCCAGCAGTGTTCATCATCTCCAATCAAGTACCTATTGTGATCCGTAGACAGAGTCGTCTTTCCAGTACCTAAATAGTAAAATGAAAAGAAAAGGCAAATACCATAAGAAACAATTAAACTGTCATACGCTAACAGAGAGCGAGCGAGAGTAAGAGAGCACATATCATATGGCTGTGAGACCAAGATGACAACCGCAATCTATTGATGATACTATACCTGACAATCCAAAGAAAAGGGCAACATCTCCATCTTTCCCTATATTGCGGCCAGAATGCAGGGATAGGATTTGTCACTTAGGCATGAGATAATGCATGACACTGAAAAGACCTTTCTTCATTTCCCCAGTGTACATGGTGCCGAGGATGACCATTTCCCTCCTAGCAAGATTAAGGTCTATGCTAGTAGAGGATGTCATGTAGTGGGTGTAACGATTACACGGGAAGTGGCCAGCATTGTATACAGTGAAGTCCGGAGTACCAAAATTCTCCAGCTCTTCAGGAGTGGGTCGAATACACCTGCGACCCACCAAGTTATAGAATTGTACGTACACTAAGCTAATATCACACGTGTTTGCACCTAGCTAGACGGAAAGCTACGTGCTTAGGGACGATACATAGAGAATACTCGGAAAAGATTACATGTCAAAACTTATACGCAACGTTAAGAGGACTTATCTGGCAGGCTTACCCAAAGGAGGAGGGAACGTATACAGAAAAATACACTGCAGAGAAAGCAAATTGTTCATAAAAACTCTAAAGCTTTACTTACATGTTGTGCATGAACAATGAGTGATAAGCTCTGGCAGACACGACCCGAACTTTGATTCTGTTTTCCGGATCTCAGTGACTATATTTGACAAGGCGTTTAGAAAACTTACCACACTGGATTTCTTCTCTTCATAACCTGGTGAGACTCTTTTTGAAATGGAGTCGGCTAAAGGAGGATCCTCTAGTACATCTACAAGGTTTGCCAAATCTGGTACATCTTGAACTGCTTCAGGTTTATGACGGGGAATGTTTGCATTTTAAGGAAGGAGGGTTTCCAAGTCTAAAGGTATTAGGTATGACAAATTAGGAGTGGAAAAGATTATCACGGATGAGGGAGTAATGCCTTGTCTAGAAAAGTGAATAATCCAGCGCTGCAACTTGTTGAAGAAGGACCGATCAGGCATTGAGCATTTAAAAAATTTAAAAGTTGCTAGAATTTTTCGATATGCCAAATGAATTAATCCAGCCACTACTTCCTGATAGTGGGGAAGATCATTGGAAAGTTGCTCACGTTCCAGCAGTTTACTTTTCTTATTGGAGAGGTGGGGCAGGGGATGTGAATTCATTAGAGATGATTCATCCAGTAACTTCTTCTGCCATGAGGAGGCTTCAAATATCCTATGGAAGGCATAGTTTAGGCTATGGCCTATATTTATTTAGTTTGTCATTCCCGGAAGGGGAATTCTAACTCGCAACCTCTTCAAACATTGTGGACGAGAGATAACACTCGACCAATAGAAAGTTGGTGGCTTTGGCCTATGATCAATAATTATAAAGAAGTCTATCATGAATTCATGACTCAGCTTCTACTCCTGCTTATAACTTGAATTAATTCTTGTACTCTTTTACAACCAATAATTTTTGGCTTTTTATAATCATGCTTTCGGTTGACTGAAAAATAACTTTACTTATATGAATTATGCACAGCATCAAACAAAAGTCACCGTACATGGGATGGGCTCCTCATGTTCAGTAGTGAATTTCCGAATGTTGTGAACGCCTTCCTACTAGTACAAAAAGACCAGGGAAAATGGTTCCTGAATGTTTTTTAGTTTTTCTTTTCAACCAAAAAAACAAAAGAAAAGAAGAGATGTTACGCCCCATAGCTTCAGTTTCACTTTAAGCAGTTAATGACTGAATTGACAATAAAAATAAAATAATTGCAATTACCTGGCCTGGGCATGGGCAGGGCATTTCTTAAATATCATTTATCCTTTCCTCTGAAAATTGTAATAGCACCCTATGTGGTTGGTCACAGAAACAAAGACAAAGTAAAACTGAGAGTCCTAGTTACTTCATTGGCAGCCTCCCTACATTGCACCTGAAAACAGATGCTAACTCATCCATTCTCTCTTTGTGAGCATTATTCCCGGCTACCAAATGCTTTGCTCCAATCTCCGTTTTTATGCTTTTCATGGGCTGAGTTGTCATCATTTTTTATTACTTGGAGGAATAGATCTCCTCTGTCTCAGCATTGCATCACACAGCTTTACAGCATCTACATTATCTCTTACATTATGTACTCTTACAATATTTGCTCCGCCCAGGACTGCGGCAGTGACAGAAGCAACAGTAGCAGCATCTCTCTCAGTTGCAGCAGTGCGATTACAAACTTCACCTAAAAATTTCTTTCTCGAAGGTCCAATTAGTATGGGCGCATGAGACAAAGCCAAACTTTTCCTCCCAATCTCTGCTTGAATATTTGGTAACCCCATCAAGATTTCCAAATTGTGTTCACAGTTCTTTGAAAATCCAAGTCCAGGGTCAATTATCATCCTCCAAGCTGGGATGCCTAATATTTCAGCTTCTCTCACCTTTGAGTATAACTCAGACACAACCTGCTTACAAACATTATCATATTGCAGGTTCTCGCTGTTCTGCATTGTCGATGGATCTCCCCTCATGTGCATTGCAATGTAAGGAACTTTAAGGTCAGCAACGACTTTTAACATGTTAGAGTCCAACTGCCCGGCAGATACATCATTTACAATATGAGCACCCTTACTGACTGCTTCTTCCGCAACTTCTGAATAAAATGTGTCCACAGATACAATCTTTCCCTCTGCTTCAGGCAGCCCAAGAACTGCTTCTAAGACAGGAATTAGTCTATCCAGTTCTTGTTGAACTGAAATCCTAGAAGCCATTGGCCGTGTAGACTGTGCGCCAATATCAATCATATCTGCCCCCTCTGAAATCATTGAACGGACCTGAGAAATTGCTGCCTCCACAGACTGAAACTTTCCTCCATCACTGAAACTATCTGGAGTCAAATTAAGGATACCCATTACCGAGGTTCTCGTTGACCAGTCCCAAAAGCCGTTTCCAATAGGCAAAACCCTCTTTAGTCCTTCCTTTCCAATGAGTGGTTCACCGCCCAATTTCTCCCAAGAATCAAAAAGCCCATCAGAATGGTTTGAGAAAGAATGCCAACAAGAAACTGTATCGCTGTCAATACTTGAACCCAGCAAATCCATTAGTGGGGCCATTACAAATGGTCTTTCCCAAATTCTTTCATGGGGGACCATAAGAATCTCAGAACTGATTCTTTGCTTTCCATAGAACAATATATCCAGGTCGATTGGCCTGGGACCATACCTAATACCATCAGTACGACCCATGTCCTTTTCAATTTTCTTCAGTGCTCCTAACAACTCATGAGGCCCAAGTTGTGTAACAGCTCTAACAGCAGAGTTGAGAAAATTAGGCTGATCAGTCACATAGGCTGGTGCTGTCTCATACAAGCAAGCATGTCTTGTGATGTGTATGCCCGATTTTCTCATTAACTGCAAGGCTTCATTGAAATTATGCAGTCTGTCACCCACATTGCTTCCCAAAGCAATCACTATCTCCTGGTCTGGAGAATGAACTTGTGCTGAGAAGTTTGGGGATGAATGTATGAAAGAAGAACATGATGCTGCATTGAAAGTGTAAACAAGCATCAGGAAGGCTGTTTAGGCCTCTATACTCAAAATGAAGCATTCGTGATACAAATTCATAGTCTCTTTTCCCATCGACGGCCTTTGTCGCTATTATACATGCAAGGATTTCTTCACCAATGAAAACATATTTTTATATTGCTACGACATAAAAAACACGAGTGAATGGAACTTGGGTTTACCTCGACAATACTTTGTGACATCATTCAATCGCTTCACTGTGGGCACGAGCTGCTTGACTATATTCATGTTAGAACTAGGAAGCAATCTACAGTCGTATTACTATTAGTCAGTTTTTGACATTTCAATTTCTCAAACACCAAACTTGAAAGAAACAGAAATTGAGCGGGGGGAAAATTAACCTCACTCAAAGTTGGAAGTTGAATCGAGCAGAAGAGGAGAGCAGGGCAGCCACTTGGCGGGCGATTATTGTGAATTACCTTCAAGGTGACCAACTGTTTGGAATGGAGCAGGAGCAAGGGCTAGGGCTAGAGAGGTAGCCCTCCCATTGAATTATTCTGCAATGGCATTGGGTGTGACTCAGACTCACAACAACAACAGAAGCTAAGAAAACAATCTGGAGAAGACAGCTCTCAACCAATTTCCCAAACCATATCAACACAACACTGCTAATCCCAAATTCACAAATTCTACTGCACCGAAATTTAATAAAGAAAATCACTTGGACCAAAATTAATTTTATATATATATATATATATATATATAGAGAGAGAGAGAGAGAGAGAGAGAGAGAGAGAGAGTTTACCTTGTTGGGAGATAGGAGAAGTTGACAGTGGAGCGGAGAGCGCATAGAGAAGAGAGAGACGAGAGAGTCAGCGCGGGTTACGTTAAAGAGGGAGAGGCTGCTCGGGAGAAAAATGTGTGGAGCTAAACCTAGGACTCTTCCTAACTGCAGTTCCACCGTTGCTAAGGCCCGGGCTATTCACCGTTTAATCCAGAACAGTAACTATTTTTAATCAACAGTAATTATATTTTACATTTCCATTCTTATATTGAATAGCTTTAGTAATAAGTAATAAAATATTAGTATTTTTTTTTAAATAATACAAACAAAAACCTTTGTTTTTTTTCACATGGTGCCGATGCACTCCAAAATCTTTTTTTTTAATTATTTTTTTCTTCTTCTTTTCACATGGTGCCAACTAAGGGTGGTTTTGGTACATTACCGTACCAAAATTTCTATATCAATTATCATACCAAATATTTGATACGGCAAAATCTATTATCATTACCGTACCAAACTTTCAGTATACCAAATAGTTGGGTTGGTATGGTATACCAATAGTAATTGTCATTTTGTTTTACGCCACTTAGTTTATCCAAAATATAATATTTTTTAAATTAATGTAGAAGTGTAAAAAATATAGAAAAAAAATATATAAATGCTCGTAATGACAAGCTTTACAACTTTCGTGAAGAGCTTAACTTTGAAATTTGCCATTATAATCATATAAATCATAGATCAAAATTTAACCGTTGATTGTTGTTTACATTCTTCATTTTTCTCATCAAATTTTGTTTTTTTCGGATTTTCTTTTTTGAAAACATGTTATATTAGATGATGTAGAAAGATGAATTGGATCGTTGACATTATCTTCAGAGTTTTACGGTTAGTGAAAATATTGCTTAATGTTTATAAAGTTTCTACAAACTATATGGCATCGACTCATATTTCTGTTAACCATAAATATTGAAACGTGATATCAAAGATCTGAACCGTTCATCTTCTTACACCCGCCAGATGATCATGTTTTCAAAAAAAGAAAATTTTAAAAATGAAATTCAATAAGAAGAATAAAGCGTAAATGACAATCGCCAGTTAAATATAAATTTAAGGTTTATGGATTATAGTGTTGGATTTTGAAGCTGACCTCTTCATGAAAGTTATAAAGTTTGTCAGTACGAGTGATTGTATATATTTTTTTACATTTTTTACACTTCTACAATAATTATTATTAATTTTGCCCTCAAATAATTATATGAATAAATACATAATATAATATTAATATTATTGGTAGGTACGGTATACCACCGGTACTGATTTTGGGTACCAGTACTGTACTGAAACAGTATGGTACGGTACAAATACCGTACCATTACCAATTGGTACAAATTTTTAGTAATAATTTGGTATGGTATGGTATGGTTGGTAAGGCGGTTGGTATGGTAATTTAGTAAAAATTTCCACCCCTAATGCCAACACATCATTCCAAAAGCTGTGTTTTTTTTTTTCCTTTCTTTTTCAAGCTCAACAGCTCTCTCTCACTTGAGCTCCGAAGGCAGGGCCTCAGACTCTGACAACATCAATAGCCGATCCGCACAAAAATTCACAATTTTTCCTTAGTTCGCCACCTCCTTAGTTAAAATCTCTCTCTCTCTCTCTCTCTCTCTCTCTCTCTCTCTCTCTCTCTCTCTCTCTCTCTTCCCCAAAAACAAATCCCAAGTTGTGACAGTCCGTCCCGGAATATTTGTACTGTAGGTGTGAAAAGACTAAATTGCCCTTGAACGTTAAATTGCGTGTGGGGTGTTGTTTAGTTTGTTTTTTTGGTTGTTGACTCAACTAGGACCACACACACACACCCACATACACCTAAACACCCGTGGACCCTCCCTCTCTCTCCTCCTTCTCGGATTTTTTTGCATTTCCGTACAAGTCATACGGACATCACCCAAATCAACCATTTTAGGCACGGATCGCCGTCTAGAAGGTAAGATTCGAACTCCTTGCAAGTTCTTGAGTTCATTTATACCATTTGTGAGACTTGAAACCTTCGAAAACCTCGAGAACCCTAACCCCATATTTCATGCATTGTTCATGCACACATGATCGTGAAGTTTTTAGGAGTTTTTAAGGTCGTATAAAGCTTTAGAACACTCTCACGAAGCTCAGAGAAGAAAGTTGAAGTGTTTAGGATGTAGGGAAGCCCAGTTTCAATGAGTTGCAGGTTTGGTTGGAATATCGTGGGTTTTTCGGGCGAGATTCCGTTGGTTTTAGGTCCCCAAAGTGGTAAGGTTTTGTTCTACTCTTCGTAAGCTTCATTTTCATACAAAATTCATGAATTTTGATTGAGAAACGAGTGAGATTTGAATGGAAGTTTTTCCCAGTTTTTCGGCGACGGCGACGAAGTCCGGCGGCTAGCCGGAGAAGAAAGGGGAATATTCCGTTAGTTTTAACGGAATATTCATAAAGACAGTAACGGCGTCAGGTTAGTTTTAACGGAATATTCCTAACGGCATTAACTACCGCCGTCAGTGTGCTAGGCACGTGCTTGTACATGGACGGCGCGTGTGGCCGTGCCTTGGCCGACACGTGGGTAGTCATAAAATTATTTTAAAAATATGGGGATGTTCATGAGGTTGAGTAGATCATGTTGGTATATTCAAACACCCCATTTGAACATTGTATGAGAAGTTATTACTTAGTTTTGGTTATGTGCTTTAAATTAACATTTATATAGTTGTTTCGCATATAGGTGAGACCTATCCTGAGGACGAGCGCAGTCGCTCGAGGCTTGAGGGCTACGACCCTTCCACATACCAGTGAGTGGGCTTTTGGTTTTCCGTATATATCTATATACTTGAGAGTTTTCCCAGAAAATGAAATTGAATGTTTATTTGTTTTAAAATGCCATGCAAAGTGCCTGCCTATTTATTTATGCATTAGTAGTCGCATATATGTATGTGTGGTGCTGCGGACGCACGGGTAAGTGCCAGATAAGTTTATAGTTTATGGTTGTGAATTAGTGGTTAGGTGAGATGCATTGAGAGCTCATAAACTTGCACCCCGGTGTTAGTGCTCCCGCTTAGAGTTAGGGCACAATTCTTCACGTGATGTTCACCTCCCGCACCACACGCTCATCTTGGATCCAAGTTAGGTGCACAGTCCTGTCGTACATACCACTTTAGGTGGTTCCGACTCGTAGGTGACCCACGATTATTCGCACAGTCTTCACGTGATCGTAGCACTTGAGCGTATTTATTTACACCCAGTCCTATCGTACAGACCACTTTAGGTGGTTCCGACTCGTGTGCAGGTATAGTTGTTGAGATGTGGATTCGAGCTCTAGATTCAGCCGTACAGGTCACGTTAGGTGACTCCGGCTGACATATCATTTGCATTGATTGATATCACCTAGTTTACTTATACTTTATGCTGAGAAATTTGTCGTGACATATTTATGAATGTTGTTATTCTGAGCATGATTTCGTTATATTCATATATTCTATTTTCTGGGAACTTATACAGGTTTTACGGAGAGGGGTTAGAACTTTTGAGAATGAAATGATTTTGAAAAGCTTTGTTTTTGCTCACTCACACTTTCTGTTTTGCGCCCTTCCAAGTTTTAGGTAGAAGCGCTTTGGTGGCTCACGAGAACTTTGACGGTGGTTCTGACAAACAACACAAATGTAGGATCACCTTTGGGTGTTGTGTAATTAGTATTCGTTCTACTGGACTACACTTAGACTTTTTGTGCTCTGATTATATTTATCACACTTAGTCTTACACTAGCGTATTACTTTAACTAGTTTATCTAGTAGTTTGGTTTTTATTTATTCGCTTTTCTATTATTATTTATACTTCCGCACTGTGCACATGGCTACATCACTCTCACATGACGGGCAACATGCCTTGATTTCGGTCGGGGTGTGTCACAAATCATGCGATCTGGATGCGCGAGTGGAAGAAGGGGGATCGCGAGTGCGTGGAGGTGAAGGCAGTGTGAGGTGTGGCAGCAGCTGCAGCGGAGGAGGGACTGGGGTGCGACGACAAAGGAGGGGGATCGCGAGTGCCCGTTGGGTTTTACATTCTTTTAATTTTTTTAAAATTTTAAATTTTTTATTAATATTTTTTATTTTTATTAATTTTATATTGTGGTTGACGTGAGCCCATGTCACATTGCCTTCAGGAGCTCGGGCTAGCATGAATCGTCGGGCCTTTCCCTCGGGCCTGCTCAGGCTCGCTTGCCAGCACACGCTGGGCTTCATCACTTGGGCTACATGGCCCTGTTCTTGCGCCTATCCCTCGGGCTGGAGCACACAGTGGACTTGCTCTAATTAAGTTTAGATACTTCTATTTACACACATTTTTATTTCTCACTTTTTAAAATTTTTGGTTATTAATCTTTTTAAATTCATTTGATCCAACAATATTGTGTGATAAGCATCATTCTAAAAATTCTCACCTAATGCTACTTAGCCCTAGTCTTGATACTAGGCGACTGACTACCATCCTGATTAGTTCATAGATGTTTGAAAATTAAAAAAATACGCCTACATCTACTTAGCCGTCCGCCTAGCTCACCTAATCTCACAAAGAATCTTCGTTCAATAAGAATAAAATGACAAAAATTCCCTTAGTTTTTGTTGGATTAATTTGGTTTATTTTTTTTATTCAATACGAAATGATCAAAATGATTAACGGTGAACAATCTCAATGACAACTTCTATCAATTTCAAATCACAATGACAAAAATGAAAAGTTAGCCAATCTCAAGGGTCATTTCAAGCTAAAAAGCCAAAGATTTATAATAAAAGTACTTCTAGTAGAAACACTTGTGAGCAACGCCACTTTCTGCTTTCTTGAAAGAAGCAATCTCCAGCTGCAACGGGCACCAGAGAAATACTCTGAATTTTGTCAAAGCTGAATTCATGCAACCAACCCTAAACCCTAAAATACATGTCACACAAATACTCTGATGCAATGTAACCCCATTTTGGCAATGCACGCACTGCAAAAATGAAGGATTTTTAGGTTCAAACGGTCATCCATCCGCGAGTAACAGAACACGAAACATTTACCGCGAAATGAACCAGTAGCGAGAAGGAGAAAATCATTAAAACTAAAGAAAAAGCATAAAGTTAGGTTATCTAAGGAAAGGAAAATTCAAAATACAAAGGTATAAC